GCAAATTGACAGCTTCGGCGTGATCTGATTCTGTAGGTAACTGGCTCTTGGCCCACCTTGAATGGTGAATGTCCATCTACCCGATTTCTTCATTTCCGGCCATCGATTGATCTGGGTTACCTACGGCTGAAGACGGTAAATCGCTGCCCCTGTGGGATAGCGAAGGAGGCAGCTGGTACAGGGAGGGGAGGGAGAGGAGGGAGAGAAGTCGAGTCATCAGAGGAGGGGGAGAAGTTGAGTTATTATCCCCAACATGCCGAACGGCACCCGCGTAACTGTTGATAAATGGGCCTAAGGGCCAGATCCCACTAGCCCCTATTCTTCATTTCTAACCGTTGATCTTGGTAATCGAGGGTGAATAATGAATAATAGAGGGTAGTGGGATCTGACCCTAAGTCCGAACCCTGCAGTTGACATAACTCCGGATTACCTGGGGCCGGTCAGCTCAATGAACAGAGGGGCAAAACAGATTAGGGCGAGATGCCACTGACAAAAACGATTGAAATAAGTGTCTGAATCTGGACGTGTTTGTGGAGAGGTGCAAAGAACTGTAATTGATATGCTTTTCTGCATCTCTGCGTCGAAGAACATGTCCTGATTCAGACACTTATTCCCATCCTCTTTGCCTGTGGGATCTGGCCCTTAGTGACTCACCCAGCGGACCAACGAACGACCCAACGAACGAACCAGCGGGGAAAAAAAGTAGATGTCTACGAAACGGATTGCGCTACTCCCCCATCTTACGACCTAACTAACGAGCCAACTAACGAACCAACTAACGGACCAACTAACGGAGCAGCGGAGCAACGAACGAACCAGCGGAGCACCGAACGAACGAACCAGCGGAGCAACGGACGAACCAGCGGAGCAGCGAACGGACGACCTGTTTGCAGTGCAGCGAAGTGGAACTACTTTTATTTTTCTGGGCAGGGTCCTTCGACCGAACTGCCGTGAGCTAAACAGCGAAAGTAAAGTATAAGAGCCAATTATAACCCGGGCGGGCGAAAGGAGTAAAGACCTCCAACATAATACAACACAACAAGGGGGCGGTCGTCTGGCGCGGAAATGGTAGCAAGATGAGATTATAGCGGATGCCCTAAATGGTTGGCCCGCGTCTCTTGTGACCCCGACCTGAGCCGACGTGGCTTTGCAGGCCTGAGCTGAGCTGTACGTCTCGCAGCGAACCGGATGATACCGGACCGAACAGGCCCGGGACTGACCAAACCGGGGTCTAGAAACCGAACCCACCAACCCGACGGCACGTAGCGGCACGCGTCGTCCCGTTGGCGCACGTGGCTCTTTGCGCGCGCTTTGAATTGAACCCTTCTGTCTGGCCTCTCTCTCTCTGCTTACCACCCCACCGGAACCACCCCAGTCTCTTCTCTCGTCTGGAGTGGTTTTCCTTGTCCTCGTCCTTGTCCTTGTCATTTTTCGTTTTCGTTTTCGTTTTCATCTATAGCAATTTGGCAATTCGTTGCGGCCGTTGATGCGAGAGCCTACCGGGTCAACGCAGTGCAAAGGCAGTTAAGCGTGGAGTTTGGCGGGTAATTGTCGTTGACGGCGACAATTGAGAGGGATACGAGGAGGGTAATCAGAAGCTTGGAGGAGGAGGAGGAGGAGGAGGAGGAGGAGGAAGTGGAAGGAGGGTGGGGGGGGGGGGGGGAGGAACGAACGGGCGGAAGATGAGGAGAGAAGAGGAGAGGAGGGGACTTGGAGAGACCAGCTCGATAATCAACTGTAGAGTTAATCAATAATCGGTCAGCCAATCAACCTTGTGTATCTTGCTCCGACCTCCAACACGTCTGGGCCAGGCGGGAACTGGTAGCTGCCTGTTTGGGCCACACATTAGGTGAGTCTTTGATTGCCATGGAACGCGGATTATGCGCGTCGGTACGGAAAGTGAACACGTCCGCATTGAACCTTTTTTCAACGACTCAATCAATCAATCAATCAATCATCCAATCTTTCATTGGCTCATCCAAGCAATCATGTAGTCAAAGAATTGTCTATCCATTAGATCATCGGTTTTACAATGATTGGTCGTGTATATCGTTCGGCCTGCGAGAAGAGATATAACAAAGTCACTCACCGCGAAGCCAGTGACAGCTGCGTTCTTCATACGCAAGTCCTGGGCACCGAAATTCAACTATTGCTGGAAATGCTACTTAGCGTGCACTCATACTCAAGTCCTGGGCAAAGTCTGTCCTTCTTGCGACTTCTCCGTGTTCTCTCTCTCTCTCTCTCTCTCTCTCTCTCTCTCTCTCTCTCTCTCTCCTGGCGTCTTCATATGTTCTGGACATTGGCGGACAAAAATGCGGTGTCGAAATGTGGATGTCTGCAGTTGAAGTCTCTTGTACTGCCTCCTTATGTTTGTTTCGCGGTCCTCAACAAATTGGACGAGCAGTTTGACGTGTTCGGTGTATATCCGCTAAGGCGCGCCAATATATCTCCAACGCGCGACTCTTCGCGTTCTTAAGCGACTGCCTTTTCTTGGTCGTTTACCTCTCCCTCCCTTCCCCTTTCTCTCTCTCGCTGTCTGTCTTTTTCTTGCCGTGCCTCTCTGCGTCTCTGTCTGTCTGTGTAGCATTGCATCTTCTTGAAAGACCATGAGTCAAACTTTCTGGTCAGCGCAGCAAAGTGGAAATGCGATACGATAACCATTGCCAGCTCGTTAGCTGTCGATGGGTCGCACACAATCCCTTTCTCTCGAATGCTATGGGGCTCGGCGCCCCACTTCCAAATGCCAACATTTTGACATGTATTTGGACCACTTGGAGGTCTACATGCAGATGTAATTAAAAGTGTTGGCGTTTGGCGAGGGGTTCGCGGATACGAAGCCCTGTGTTGCAGTGGATTGCGGGGTTAGGGACGGAGTCGGGATCGAGTGCACGCAAAGGGGGTTTTCATCCCCATTGAGTCATTAACTTAATTAGGAATATAGATTAACGGCATACTTCACACTAGGGGAATTACCGCTTTTCGGACCTGGGGCTGGATGCACCTGAACACAATTACGTCCAGAGAGAGGTTAAGAAAGTCCTGTTATGAGTATGGCCTAAGTTGTGGGAGGACGATTACCACGCCCAGAGAAGCAGGATCAATTTAGTACTACCAAGGGTGTTTCACACTACCGTCTTCATTCGAATAGAACGCCCGGTCACTATAGCCGTATTTTGTGCAATTTTCAGTCCAGGTACGGCTATAATGACCGGGCGTTCTATTCGGGTCAAGACGGTAGGACCTTTTTTTGGTATTGAACGTATCGGACCCCTCTTTAACGGGGGGATGGATGTGTGCGGTGAGGGCACTCCTGTGTGAGGGAAAGAGTATGGTGTTTTCGAATAGAATTATTTCGCGGGAAATGATGAACGTTTTTCTCTTTAGAGATTGTGTGTGTGTGTGTGTGTGTGTGTGTGTGTGTGTGTGAGGGAGAGAGAGAAAGTGTCCCACAGAGAGAGAGAGAGAGAGAGAGAGAGAGAGAGAGAGAGAGAGAGAGAGAGAGAGAGAGAGTGTGTGTGTGTGTGTGTGTGTGTGTGTGTGTGTGTGTGTGTGTGTACCCGAAAAGTGCAAAACGGTCATCATTTGTTTACACTAGGACCTTAAATGGCGGGAGATGTGTGAAATTCGAAATCTTCATGGGAGTATCTATTGCGGAATATGTCGGGGGAAATGGCGGGAAATGCAGTGAACGGGAAAATTGAATATGTCGGGGGAAATGGCGGGAAATGCAGTGATTGGGAAAATTGAANTGAACGGGAAAACTGAATATGTCGGGGGAAATGGCGGGAAATGCAGTGAACGGGAAAATTGAATATGTCGGGGGAAATGGCGGGAAATGCAGTGAACGGGAAAATTTGATTTGTTTGTTCAGTGAGTCATGGATTATGGCAGTGATTGGTTGATTGGCAGTTCATTGATAGCTCTGATTACGTCGATTGATTGAATCGCTTGATTGAATTGAATTGAATTGAAGTTGATTGATTGAATTTGATTGATTGAATTGATTGATTGATTGATTGATTGATTGATTGAATGTCTAGGAAAAACCGATTTCACTTAGCGGCAAAAATCGCAATGCTCTCTTTGGGAGGTACCTTGCGACACTTTGCTGGGAATTGGAATGTCAATTAAAGAGAAGAGATAAGCCTATCTGATGAGAATCACATTACCATCGACGACCTCAGCAGCAGCTACAGCAGAAGGCCCGCCGGAATACCATCGTCGTCATCATCATCATCATCATCATCATCATCATCATCCATCGTCATCATCATCATCATCATCATCTATTATCATCATCATCATCCGCGAAGGATGCTCTCAACGCTCTGCTTGTACCTTATCATCCTCGGGCGAAGAGAAAAGGGAAGAATCGCTGTTGATGACACTGATTGATCTACGGTGCTGATCAGTTGATGAATTCTGTCATCAACGCGCGAACGTCTGGTGGGACGGATTGAAGTCGGAGCGATGATCTCAGCCTATCCTGAGGGTGGTCAGCGTCTCCAGGCGTGACACGTGTCTAACTTTCTATGTCTATTATTATATCAGAAGAATCGCCTTAAGAGGCCCGAAAACAGAGGCACAGGGAGTAGAGGATTGGCCAGAGGAGAACAGGGGATTGACCAGAGGAGAGGAGAGGAGGATCGACCAAACGGACGCAAACGGAAGCAAACAGAAGCAAACGGGAGAAGACGGGGGGGGAGTGTTTTCGTTGGTAGTGCCACCATCCATTCGATTCCGCGGTGTATCGGTATTGCTATTCCCGCGATCTGTTTCTTCCTTTCTCTCTCTCTCTCTCTCTCTCTGTGCTCTCTTCCTCTCTCTGTGTCTCTCAAGATATTCTCCCCATCATCTCTCTCTCTCTCTCTCTGTCCAACTTCGCGATCCCTCATTTCTCTATCTGTCTGTGGGTGATTTTTTTAAGTGAGCAGGAAGAGAGCTTATGGCCGTCGTGCGCCCGTGGAGTGAGGGTCGTACATTTAGAGTGACAAGGACGTTGTTGCTGCTGCTGCTTTTCTTCTCATCCAGCTGGGCGCTGTCATTATCTTTCACGTCATCATCTGCCGTCGATTCTTGTCTGTAAATTCAATCTACGGTGTTGGAAACCACTGTGACCTTCCGTACTACGTTGAAGACGGCACCACCTGTGCTCTGGACATGCTATCCTCCTCCCTGCTCTGGACTTGTCATCATCAGTGTTCTCGACTCGACATCATCATCAGTGATTTGCAGGCATCATCATTGATTGATTGATTGATCTGTCCACGTGATCGTGTGTTGCTCATGCCACGTCATCAGCGCTGCTTTTGACTCTTCATCGCAGAGTGGAAAGGTGCTCAAGGGCGGCTTTGCTGTGGATGGATGTCGAAGTGGGGTGGGGTTCGCAGCTTATCAATCAGTCTTGAAAAGTGAAAGTGTTGAAAAGTTTGACTTCAAGTGCCAGAGAGAAGAGGTAATCAATCGATCTACCGATCTAGTCGGTCGAGAGCGGGGAGATTTGTCAGTATCCCATCGGATTGGGGAAAAGAGAGGGTAGCAGCTAGAGAGCTGCAAATTGGTGAATAGAAATTTAGATATCCAAACGAGTGAACTGTGTTTGCGAACGCTTGTTGGGGCGGGGCGGTAGTAATGTTATTAAAATGACTCGATGGCCGATGATTAGGTCGACTGATTGGCGGATGGATCAATAGGTTGTTGTCCCCGATGGAGTAATTACAGTGGGGAAGAGAAACCCTGATCAATCAGAGACAGCCGGGCACTGGCAGCGCGTTTTGCACCCTCGGTGGACCTGTTGGCGGGCACTGGCAGCGCGTCGTACTGCTGTTCCTCGTTTGTAACGTACACACACACATGTTCGTACAAGCGCCGATCGCTGTTGTTCGATGTGAAAAGAAAGCCCGACGGGACGCCATACGGAACGGACGGTTTATCTTGCTATCGGCTCGTTGTTAAATCCTGGCTTGCACGTCCATAACGACGGAGAGGTAATTTACGCACGCACGTATCCACAGCACGTACACGGGGAGGGAGCAGAGAGAGGAACACGTGGACACCGGGTGGGGCACACACACACAGACAGAGAGAGAGAGAGAGAGAGAGAGAGAGAGAGAGAGAGAGAGAGAGAGAGAGAGAGAGAGAGAGATCACGTGCAGTCGCTGGGAGCAGAGAGAGCAGAACGTGGACATCGGGTGGGGCACAGAGAGAGAGGGAGAGAGAGAGAGAGAGAGAGAGAGAGAGAGAGAGAGAGAGAGAGAGAGAGAGAGCACGTGCACTCGGGGGGAGTAGAGAGAGGAGCACGTGCACTCGGGGGGAGCAGGGAGGAGCACGTGCACACCGGGTGGGGCACAGAGAGAGAGAGAGCACGTGCACTCGGGGGGAGCACAAAGAGGGAGGGATATATATAAAGAGAGATAAGAGAGAGAGAGAGAGAGAGAGAGAGAGAGAGAGAGAGAGAGAGAGAGAGAGAGAGAGAGCACGTGTACTCGGGGGGAGCACAAAGAGAGGGAGGGATATATATATAGAGAGAGATAAGGGGGAGAGTGAGAGAGAGAGAGAGAGAGAGAGAGAGAGAGAGAGAGAGAGAGAGAGAATGGCGCAAACAGCGTGCTCTGTCCTGGGTTCATTTCAGGAGAATGGCATGCGCACGGCGTCAGCGGGGGGGGAAGTTGCGAGCTGTCAAAGTCATCATCAACACCAGCAAGGGGGCCGAAGGAGGAATGGAGGGAGCGGCGGGGTAGCGGGTGGGGGAACAGCCCCGCCGTCTTCGTCTCCGTGCAACGAGTTCTCCTCTGCTCGGGAAGTTGAGGAGTGCGATGGGCATCGTTCAGAGGTAGGAGGTGGCGGAAGCGGCGAGGCACATGGTGCGGCCTCCTCCGCTTGCAGCAGCGAACACGACGGCGGCCGTCACGTGAATGACGGGGGAGATAGCACGCCCCCGGGCGGAGGAGGGCGGAAAGATGCAGCGGCCGCCTCGAAGAAGAAGAGAGCCAGCAAGTCTGCCAAGCTCAAGCAATCAAAGCTCGACGCTCGTCGAGAGCAGTGGTTGGCTCATCAGGTCCTCCCTCCCCCCTCCTCATCGCCACATCCCCGCCAAGGTGTCTCTCAGTCCCACCACCTCAATCCCCCCCAGCAGCAGCACTCTCCACCCCCTCACTGTCGGGAGGAAGAGGCGGAGACAGGGGGCGTAGGAGAGGAAGACCGTGGGAGGGAAGAGAAGACTGGGGAAGCGGAAGCCGCCGGCGCCTCCTCCGCCGCCGCCGCCATCTCGTCCGCTTCCTCCTTGGTCTCGCCAGCGTCGTCCGCCGAATCGACCTTCGCAATGGAGAGCGCCCCCAAACATGATGCAGCAGAGGAAGCAGCAGCAGCAGCGGTCGACCTGACGGCGATCGGGATGATCAAGAAGGATGAGTGGGATCCCGACTCTTCTGCGTTTTCGTTGTCGTTATCAGTTCACGAGCGGGATGGAAACGACGAGCGGGCGAAGACTCGCGGAGGCAGGCGGAACGACGAGACCAGCGCGCCACGCCTCTGCTCCCTAGTTGCAGCTGGTTCCAACTCCTTGTGCGGAAGATTGGCGGGAGAGACGCCACCGCCTCCGCCGATGAACACGTCATCACCTCAGCAGCAAGGTGGCAGGGGGAAAGCCTCCGGGCCCCGAGCGCTCCACGTGGAAGCCGTTGATCGCGATAATGAGAATGATGAGACGGGGCGAGTGAGAGCATCAGAGGGCGTCGTGGTCGAAGCGTCCGACTTGACCAGCAGTGTTCAGCCGTCGCTTCTGGTGGATGGGATTTCGATGGCCGTCAACAGATCGTGCTCGATGAACGGCCGCCAAGCGCGCCAGGTGGAAGCCGTTCCGCGAGTCTGTCGCCCTCGGAATGAGGCGGGGGCAGTTGACTTTGACCAGCGTCTAGCGGGGGGGGACAATCAGTCCCAGTCCCATCGCGGGGAAGGGTTGGAACGTGAGGTGGTGGCGTGGGAGGAGGGAGTCGCTGACCAGCCGCGGCGAGGCGGGGGGAAGCTGGCAGCAGCGGGAATGACGATGCCCATTCCCTTGCCGGCTGCTACCTCCGCCTCCGCCTCCGCCTCCGCCTCCGCCGCCGACAAGAAGTCGTCTTCTTCTGAGGATAATGAGCGGGAGTGCAAAAGTTCCTTGTCGTCCGTTCTAACGACGGATGGGCAGAGAGGAGGAGAAAGAGGAGGAGGAGGAAGCGGGGGGAATGGAGTGATCTTCGGCAAAGAGGAGGAGGAGGAGGAAGATGAACATAACCAAGGCGGCGGCGGCGGCCATGTAAATGACCTTCCGGTTCCTCTTCCTTTTGCTCTTCCTCTTCCTCCCCCCTCTAGGGTTCTCCTGCGGACCAATTCCCACGGAGATGGAGAAGGAGGGTGGGAAGAGGAGGAGGACATTGGATCTTGGGAAGACCGGTATCCTGATCAGCAGCAACAGCAGCAAAGTCAGCAGGTTCCCAGGCGAGCGGATATCCCCGAAGACGCGCCAGCCAAGGACCAGCAAAGGCAGCAAGGGCTGTCATCGACGAACAAGATGATCGGCGAGAAATCGACGGTCGTTACGGCGATAAGACAAGGCAGCGGCGGCGGCGGCAATAAGACCGGGAGTAACAGCCAACAGAAGAAGAATGGTGGCGGTTTTCATGCGAAATCCAGTCGGGATTCCATGGGTGACGTGGACCAATCGGAAAGAGCAACGGCGGAAGGCGGGGGTAGGAGTTCCCGTTCCTCTTCGCTTGTCCTCCCTCCTCGACGTCCTTGTACTTCTTCGTCGCCCTCACCCTCTGCTCGATCTGATCGAGGTCTGGACATGGGGGACGCTATCCCGGTGGCGGCGGCGGCGCTTCCCGCCGCTGGCGGAAACGGGAACCGGAGTCCGCACAACAGTTCGTCGGGAGGAGAGGGAGAGGGGAAGGGGGCGTCGAAGGGGCGCAAAGCAGCGGCAGCGGGTCATCATAATAATAAGAAGAATGGGGTCGGTCGCAGTGGCGGTGGGGGAAATGGGGGCGGAGGAGAAATGGAGAAGCAACGAACGTGCGCGAGGGGGGAGAACGATGGGGAAGTTGTGGCTTCCGACCGGTCGCCCACTGCGGAGCGTCATGGGGGCGCTGCCGGTCCCGCCCGCGGTCGTAGCTCTAGCCCTTGTAGTACCGCCGTAGCCCCCCGCCACGGCCGAAGCAGCAGTTGTAGCAGCAACAGCCAATCAACGAGCAGCAGCCTGGAATTGAGCAGCAGGGATGCAGAGGAGGAGGAGGAGGAAGAAGAAGAGAGAAGCAAGGAGGAGGAACGTGAGGCGGGAGTATTAGGTTTGGGAGAGGAGGGCCCGCGCGAGGAGGTACACGCAAAGGAGCAGGAGGGGCAGGAGGAGGAGGAAGAGGAGGAGGAGGAGGAGGAGGAGGAGGAGGAGGAGGAGGAGGACGAGGAGGATGACTGGGAGATGGCCGCTGATGCGTTCTCTCAGGAACTTAACCAAAAGGAGGAACAAGAAGACGGTCTGGGGGGAAGAACGACTATCGGCAAGAAGAACATGTTGGGGATTGGAGGTGGCGGCGGGGTAGGAGCGTACGGTGGTGGCGAGGTGGGGGTGGGGGGTAAGAGGAAGCCCCTGTCCACGTCATCGCCATTTGCAGCGCGGTCCTTGGGTTCTCTCACTGCCACTCATGCCTCGATGGCCTTAGGAAAAGACAGGGATTTGAATGCCTCTTTTCTCCGCCCCCAGCAGCATCTTCATCATCACAGTCATCATTATCATCATCATCATCATCAGGGAGGCGGAGGAGCGGGAGCCGGCGCAGCAGGCGGTGATTTCTCCATCCGTTTGGAGCCAAGGTATTCGTCCAGTCCAGGCTTGGTGAGGAGGATGGCTATGACAGCAGCTTGGAGACCTGATGACGTGGCAAGGCCATCAACGCTACCGAAGCCCGCTCATGGAAGCGGCAGCGGCAGCGGCGGGGGGATTGGGATTGGGATCGGGATTGGGATTGGTGGCGTGGGTAATGCGGGTGTTGTGGGGATCGGAGGAGGAGGAGGTGTAGGGTTCGGCAGCTCTCGTTCGTCAGCCACGAGTCCATGGAGTACTCCCCCTCGCGCGTCGGTCTGGGGAGGAGCCGGCGGCGGCGCGCCTTCTTCCCAACCGGTTCCCGCGCAATGCCCTATCTGTACGGAAGAGCTGGATCTGACGGACGCCTCTTTCCAACCATGCCCCTGTGGTTTTCGAATCTGTCTGTTCTGTCATCACCGCATTGCGCTGGATGATGGGAGGTGCCCGGGATGCCGACGTACTTACGCGGGAGAGTCAGACGGACACATGCTTCGCGCGTCGAGCATGAGGCTAAGAGTCTGACAAAACCCTAATTACCGAGCCAACCGTCTCTCTCCCCTTCCCCCCCCCCCCGCCCCCCGCTCTCCCTCCCCACCTCCGCGGGTGCCCCGCCGCCTTCCCCCCAACCCTCCTCGCCCACCCGTTGCCGCGCGGGTCGGCACGCGCGCAAGGACCTGTTGCCTCATCGGGCCTGGTTGTCATTTACACTCAGTGAATGACCTGTCTGTCGTCCCGATCTCCCATCACCTCCTTACTTCTCTCCTTCCTGCCTTCTCCCTCGCTGTTCCTCCTCCCCCCCGCCCTGTCACCGTTGGACATCCTATGTCCTCAGGTCTTGACACGTGTCATATCTTTTCGCGCACAGAGACTTCTTCTTCGTCTATGCTGTGTATGCTGCTCCCGTCATCTGCTCTCGTTCATCTGCTCTCTCCACTCCCCTCCTCACCTCCCGCCTGCCCCCGCCTTCCCCCGCCTTCCCCGGCCCTCCCCTTCCCCTTCCCCTCTTTCTTCCTCTCTCTCTCCTATCTTCGTCGGCGGGCTTTGTATGGACCATAGGGCAGTCACGTGGATGAGGTTGAGGATAAGAAGGAGAGGGAGAAGGGATAGTGGCGACGGGTCCGTCGTTGGTTGCTATGTGTCAGTGGAGGGGAAACGGCAATTAAACCTTTTTTTTGTTGTTTTCGCGTGATGGTGAACATAGCCTCCTCCTCCTCCTCCTTCTCCTCCTCCTCCCCCTCCTTTTTTCTCTTCTCCCCTGTCAAAGGCGAGGAAGCAAGGGTCCAGAGCCGATGAATCGTCTGCATCTGGATGATTGCTTTTGATACGGCTTGGCGCGCAAAGAGCTTTTGACTGTATATGAATTAGGTTGTTGGTGTACAAGACATACGCATGGGGACCTTCACTCAAAGCTCTCGAAACACAGGGAATCGAACGCGCAGTTTTCCGCTCGGAAAGCGGACAAAGCGGAGACTTAACTTCTTATGGGCTATGTGGTGGGGGGAAGAAACGTCGAAGAAAACCCTTATTTGCTCGGAGGGGGCAAAAAGGGGGGAGGGAGGAAGGAAGGTGGCGAAGAGAGAGGCAAATCAATCACAGGGGTTCCCGGAGGAGCATCTGGCGACCATGGCTTTTCTCACCTTGGCCGACAGCGGCGCTGTGTCTCTCTCTCTCTCTCTCTCTCTCTCTCTCCTCCCTACCTCACCGTGTCTTCCCTTGATATCCTCTTTTTGAAATCATGCCTGCTGTTGTGTATGTTGTTGTTGGGAGGCGTAGGTAGTTTCTCTCTGCCAGTCTTCCCTGTCTCTGCCTCGACGAAAAGACGAAAGACGAAGACCTTGTAAAGCCACTGTTGGCATAGAGCCTTGACGAAGAAAAGAGGAGGAGGAGGAGGAGGAGGACGAGGAGGAGGAGGCGGCGGCTACATGCAATATAGGTGTAAGTGACTCTCTTATGAGATTCGGACGCGTAGTGTATGGAAAAAACGGTGGTGCGTAAAACCCCGCGCTTGTGTTTTATTGAGAATGGAAATGAACAAAATACTTCTGAATACTTCCGCCTTTCTGTTGTTTATACGTGGTCACTGGTCATATGAGATTGATCGGCCAATTGGCGGCAGCTTGTCTCATCATCCCCCTGTGTTTTTTTTTTCTTTCTCATTCTTTTTTCTTTTTTGCACCATTAAATTAAAGGTGAGGCGATCATCAGTTACTTATTATTTAGTGTGCGAATGGATTAACGAAGAGGAACGCGCCGTTTTCCTTGCACTCTGGCGCCAGAATGTAGCTATACACTCGATTGCGGCTCTGTGTGACTGACTTCCATTGTTGAAATAGGAAGAACACACCTCTGCCAAAACACGCGGAAATAAATAACGGCGGAATCTTAATGTATTTTTTTTTCTGACGAATTTCGTTTCATTCCGTTTACGATTCGAACAATCTCCCCGTGCAGGCACATCAACACTCGCACACACAACCTGCCCTAGTCACTGCGATTGTTTGTGGAGTTGTGTATTGAGAGAGCGAGCGAGCGAGCGAGCGAGCGAGCGAGAGAGAGAGAGAGAGAGAGAGAGAGAGAGAGAGAGAGAGAGAGAGAGAGAGAGAGAGAGAG